CAGAGAGGTGTAAAGGTAATGCCTAGAGGGAAGGAGAGGGAGAGGGGAAAGGGGGGAATGCTCCTGGTAAGGGAGAGTGCTTCCTTGGCGTTTTTTTTTTTTTTAATATACATACTCTTTTTTTTTTAATATGTTTTTATTGATTTCAGAGAGGAAGGGACGGGGAGAGATAGACAGAAACATCAATGAGGCAGAAACATTGTTGGATGCCTCCTGTACACCCCTACTGAGGATCGAGCCCGCAACCCAGGCATGTGCCCTGACCAGGAATCAAACCTCAACTTCCTGGTGCATGAGTTGATGCTCAACCACTTAGCCACACCAGCTATGCCTTCCTAGGCTTTTGTGGTACTTCTCTCTCCTATTCATATTCTCTCTCCCCAGTCCATTTTCTCTGCCTATCCTTAAATGTTGGCATTCCCTGAAAGTTCTGTTCTTCTTTCTCTTCTCCTTTCACTTTATTCAGTCAGGATACCATATTCCTGAAGACTCTCAATTCTCTATTTCCAACCCAGACCTCTCTCTCTAGAGATCCAGATCCATAGAATCAATTGTTCCCCTTGAATAACCCACAGTCTTGTGAAACACAGTGGACCCAACACAGTATTCTTCAACCCTACCCCTCACCCATGAAAACTCCTCTTGCTGCCCTAGCCGGTTTTGCTCAGTGGTTAGAGCACTGGCCCGTGGACTGAAGGGTCCCAGGTTTGATTCCAGCCAAGGGCACATACCTCGGTTGCAGGCTCGATTTCTGGCCCTGGTTGGGGTGCACATGGGAGACAACCAATCGATGTGTCTCTCTCACACTGATGTTTCTCTCTCTCTCACACACACACATCAACGTTTCTCTCTCTTTCTTTCTCCCTTCCACTCTCTCTGACAAGCAATGGAAAAAATATCCTTGGGAGAGAATTAAAAAAAAACCAGAAAATAAAACCTCCTCTTATTATATTTTCTATCTTAGTGAAGGATGCCTCTGCCTACCCAGTTGCCCAAGTCAGAAACCTGAGTTTTTCTTGCCTCCTCCCTTCCAGAGTTAGTCACTAAGTTCTGCCTCTTCTACTTCCTTACTGTCTCTCAACTACATCCATCACCATGAGCTTGAGCTCACCTGAATAACTGTAAAAGCTGGTCTCCCCGTTTCCCTTATTACCCAACTGAACCGGACAGCTCTTTTAACAACAACACATTTATTCTTATCACTCTGCTGCTGACAACCCTTTAATAGCTCCCTATTACCCACAGGATAATTTAAACTCACAGCAATGCCCTGGGGATAATAAGAGGATCCCAAGTGCAAATTAATTCAGAAAAGCAGAACCCTAGAAATGAAGGGTGGTAGTCCTGCATGAGGCTAGAGAGCTAAGCAGGGCCCTTTACCTGTTAGGGAGAGCCCATTTGGTATTTTAATCACTTGCTTGTTTGTCTGTCATTTAAATATACTTAGATCTCTTCACCTTTAAAAGCAACCTTCCTTGTATCCAACATTACCACATCAACTCTCAAAGGTACTGCCCACTCTTGACACTTTTACAGCCAAAGTTATCACCATAGGGTTCAAGGCTGGGTGACTTTTCTCCCACTCAACCTTTAAAAAAAAATTATTAAAAGAAAACAAAAGCAGCGTGGCTGGTGTGGCTCAGTGGTTGAGCATCACCCCATGAACCAGGAGATCACAGTTTGATTCCTGGTCAGGGCACATGCCGGGGTTGTGGGCTCGATCCCCAGGAGAGGGTGTGCAGGAGGCAACCAATAGATGATTCTTTCTCATCATTGATGTTTTATCTCTCTCCCTCTCCCTTCCTCTCTCCGAAATCAATAAAAACATATTTTTTTAAAAAAGACAACAAACATTTAAAAGAAAAAATATATTGATTTGTTTATTCATTAATTTAGCAAACAATTGGTGAGTGTTTACTAATGTGTGTCAAGCAGGATGAAAAAGGAGTCAAGGGCATAGCTTTCCGAGTGAAAGAGATGTGAGTTTGAGTCCCAGCTCTGCCATTTTTGAGTCATACAGACTTTGGTTGGTTACTCACATTTGTGTAAATCTTGGTCACCTCATCTATCAAGCAGGTTTAATACCAGCTCCCACCTCACAGGGAGGGGACTTGACAGGGTTGAAAGAAATAATGCATTTAAAGCACTTAGCCTGCCCGGCCCGGGTGTGGCTCAGCAGTTTAGCATCAACCTAGGATCCAGGCGATCGGGGTTCGATTCCCGGTCAGGGCACATGCCTGGGTTGCAGGCTCGGTCCCCAGTCGGGGGTGTGCAGGAGGCAGCCGATCAATGGCTCTCTCATCATTGATGTTTCTATCTCTCTCTGTCTTCCTCCTTTCCTCTCTCTGAAATCAATAAAGATATATTAAAAAAATAATTTTTAAAAATCGGAAAAAAAAAACAAAGCACTTGGCCTGATGTCTGGTATACAGTGGAGCTTAATTCCTCAATAGGATCATGTTATCAATCAATCAAGTTCCTACACTAATCTTCAACACCAAACCCTTTGGCCATTTGTTTCTTCTTTTTTTTTTAAAGATTTTTTTTTTTTTTAATATCTTTATTGATATCTTTATTGAGGGAGAGAGAGAGACAGAAACATCAATGATGACAGAGTCATTGATCGGCTGCAGCCCGAAACCCAGGCATGTGCCTTGACCGGGAATCGAACTCTGATCACCTGGATCCTAGGTCGACGCTCAACTGCTGAGCCACGCCCAGCCGGGCTGTTTCTTCTTTTTTAAAAAAATATGTCTTTATTGATTTCAGAGAGAGGAAGGGAGAGGGAGAGAGAGAGAGATACAAACATCAATGATGAGAGAGTTGTCACTGATCAGCTGCCTCCTGCATGCCCCCAACTGGGGATTGAGCCCGCAACCTGGGCATGTGCCCTAACCCGGAATTGAACAGTGATCTCCTGGATCCTAGGTCAGTGCTCAGGCGCTGAGCTATGCCCAGCTGGGCCATTTGTTTCTTCTTGCTCTTTATCATTTATCTGTTAAATTTTTTCTCTTTAAGCACAGCAATTTCCCCTCCTCATTTCTCCAGTCTCTTGCACCTGAACCCCCACCCCTCAAGCAGCACAGAAATATCTCTGCCAGTTTCTTTGCCAGTAAATCATTTCTTAAACCTTGGTACTTCTCCAACTCTTCTGTAACTTTCTTACATGGCAAGGATCAATGATTTTGCTGTGTTTCTCTTGAATGTGTTATTTACGTTAAAAATAATTAGAATAGAAAGCCACTACAAGGCATTTCATAAGCTAAACAATGGAAATCTAACAAACTAGGAGGATCTTCTAACATTACAACTGCAAAAAGTTAAATTTTGTAATATAGCATTTGAAGACAAAGAAAAAACCAGAATGCATGTTCTAGTCTCAGGACTTACCTCAATGTATGCTGGTTCACTGCCAGCAGGTGAGATGTGGGGCTGCCAGTCTTTAGGAGGCTTTGAGAGGTACTTGGAATCTGTTACAACCCATTTGAGCCGGGGCCAACCTAAATCAAACCCAAAATAAAAATTGAATTGCCTAAGCCATAAGGGAAGGAATTCACATGAACTGGTCATTTTAAACATCAAGAGAACAAATCAAGGTCATTTTATAATCAGTAAAATATTTTTATTAGTTTTTAGTGATAAATCACTAAACATTTATACCTTCTTTTAAAAGTACAATTGTTCCACATGCTAATTCCAGGCCTTGACATTACCTCAACAATTGGGAGGTCCATTTGGCAGTGGAAGACTGAGGTTAGTGGTCTATCCTCTGTTTCTACATGTAGCATTTAGCTTTAATGAACAGAGTGGTAGCTTTTTCCAACCATCAGCACAAAGGTTAAGGGTGTGGGCTGTGGAATCAGACAGATTTGGGTTCAAATCGCTGCTCTGCCATTTATTAGCTGTGACTTTGGGCAAGTTACTTAACCTCTCTGTGCCTCAGTTTCCTCACCTGTAAAATGGGGATAATAATGGCACCTACTTCATAAGATTGTGAGAATAAGAAAATTAATTTAAGTACTTAGCTATTATTAAATTAAAACACTAATTAAAGCACTCGACTTTAACTTTTAACTGATAATTCAGGTACAAATATTACTAACCTTTAAACTGTACAATCTCTCCATTCTGTGTTTTTGGCAGCCCCTTTAGACAAACTTCACTGGTAAGAGCTAAGGCAATACCACAGCTTCCTAGCAAGAAGCCAATCTGCTGCCCTCCAGCATCCTGTGGAGAAGAGATAATGAGCATGGTCGGGGAGTGAACACAGCACACTCACACCCCAAACCTAACACTCAGTAACGCTCTGGCACTTGTGTGGCAACATTCATGGAACTCCACTGACATGTGGCAACTCAAAATCTACTGACAATATGTTCTTCCAAATAGTTTCTACCATACAATGATTTCCTGAGGGCAAATAAAATATTTTGCTAATCTGACATTGCTAATGATGAATTCTACCAGCCAAATGTGACCATTTCATTCAAAGGTCAACAATGCTCCTCTTTTAGATTAAATTCAAGCAAATGAAATAAATGTTAACATGGTTAAGTTGTCTTGACCTAGCTACACCCCCAAATCCAAAAGCAAAGCAAGTTAGGTTAGAATAAAATAAATAATGTAAATTAACACCAAATGTCCAAATTTACAATGAAAGTGAATGAATCCAAATACTTATTATTATATTTTAAAAGAGCTAGATTTGAGCCTCACAAAAACAGTAGAGGAAACAACAAAAGATACAGCCTAAAGATTTCCATTAAAATGTCATCTCATTGTAAAATCACGCCAACACTGTCAACTTAATATAAGAACAACCCTATGATTTCCTGAACAATTTAAAGATACTATATCCAATCAATCAGAGTTTCAGAGATGTTACCAATTTGCTTATTCCTTTAAGAAATATTCTTTTTCTTGTAAATCCACAGTCTCCATCATATTTGTCTTTATCAACTCTCAATAACAAAAAGCATGAGAAAATTAAGGTCATACAGCTCATGGAGAAATCATTTGGTTAAACTTGGAAATTTGCCACTTATGCTTCATTGCAGTAGGGCCGATGCATTATCAAAGTAAAATCCTGTGCCCTAGAGTAGCAACATGCCATCGCTGCACCACCCTTCCACCTAATGGAAATCCTAGGTCATATGATACAGTTGAAACCAAGTCCAAAAGGCCTCGCCTACTATAAATGTGGATCAGTGTGGATTATCTATAGCCTCTGAAGCAAGGGTGGTACTTTTTATAAATGGTAATTGTTGAAAAGTCAAGTCTGTCCCCATGATTTTTAAGTGATATACAATGCTATAAGTATTCTATCTTAGTTGAAAAGATGTTATCTGAATGAAAGTTACAAATACTAATAAATAATTTTTCTACAACTTTCATGTTTTTAGAAAGTGAACCTTAGTACTTAAGAAAGCAGAATGTTTCTAATGTCGTGACCAAGTCAACAGATCCAAGAACCCAATGCCAGCCATGTCACAACAGGTTACATTCTTAAATTTAGCAATGTTACCTTTCTGGTAAGAGGTACCTCTATAGGCACTGGAATCACTTCTGCCAGGAGACATCCATAAAAAGCCACCATAAACATGACTGGATCATTGTTGGGGTAAACCAGGGCTACCTAAAATGCATAATGACACTCAATAACAGGAATAAAAACAGACTGAAGCTTTCCATGTCACTCTGTAAGATACACATTTACATTTACATATAAACATCTCTCATGAATACAATAAATCAAACTAACAGCCTAAAGAAAATTAAGTTATTGAGAAGGATGCACAAATTTAAAGAGACCTCTGTCATTCCTATGATTAGACTAGATACATTTTGGGAACTATAATGCAATTCATCACCATCCTAAGATTTTTCACTTAATTCTACTGGTGATTTAGCAGTAAACAACTCACCGTAAGTAGTAAGTTAATTGTTTGTGAAACCTAAGGCAATTTACTTTAGCGCAGGGCAAAAGCAATAAAATAAATGTAACAATTTCTCAAGATAGACAGCATATTAAAGAATAAGCCTTGCATCTCCTCTGAGAGCCTATAAGCACTGAGTGACTCAATTATCACCTTAGGGCCAACCTAAGATTTCTAACTCTTTAATTCATTGCATTAATCCTTACTCACTGAACAGCAATGCAAGTACTCTAGCATGAAAGGCATTTGGTATAGGTATAAGCAATACTGGAAGAAACCATTACAGATAAAAAGTTAATTCATTTACAAAAGATAAACAGTTGCCCGGCCGGGCATGGCTCAGCGGTTGAGCGTCAACCTGGGATCCAGGAGATCAGGGTTCGATTCCTGGTCAGGGCACATGCCCAGGTTGCGGGCTCAATCAATGACTTTCTCATCATTGATGTTTCTATCTCTCTCTCTCCCTCTCCTTCCCTCTCTCTAAAATCAATAAAGATATATTTAAAAAAAAAAAAGATAAACAGTAAAACTTCTGTAGTGTGTTCAAACATGTGATCTCACTTGTAATATATCACAGGGATAACCGACTCTTCCTAATTTATTCAAGGAATGCAAAAACACAGAAGTCACTGTCATTGTGGAGTTTTGTTACTTGGCTTGGATATTTATAAATTAACACCTGAAACTAAATTATACCACTGGACTCTTGTTTTCCCTTCTTCTGTTTTCAAATTCTCTAAACTCTCAAGATAAGTTCAATTTTTTTTTTTTAATTAAAGAATTTTTTTAATAAGTTCAATTTTGAACCTTCAAGAGTTCTAAAAAAATACAAACTCCACAAGACATTTAAACAACCCATTTCCTTCCTGCACACGAATGTCCATGTTGCCAGGAAGACAAAGAAGTACCTTCTTAGGGTTCAGTGAGGACTAGGAAACCCTCATGTGCCACATTTGTAAGTAGAAGCCTTCTTTTAGGTGTCCTTTGCCACAATGCAAAAATATTTTTAAAAGGTTTAGGGGATTCTGTAATCATGAGTCTCCTAAAAGCAAGTCTGTTGTATAGTTGGTGTTTCATTCTACAAATTCCAAATGAAAAGTAATGTTTGATAGTAAGAAGTAATCATATTTAGAAATTTATTAACAGGAAAAAACCTTCAAAAATTAAAAAAAATTAATGTCACCTCCAATTAAAGAAGAAATTAAATGATGTCAATTTGTTTCTTCTTAGAAGTAGTATGAGTCTCCCTTCCTTTCTACATAAAACCAAAGAAAACTGTTTTAAAAATTTTACAGGACTTTTTAAAAAATTCTCACACAAGGATATCTTTTGTTTGTTTTTGTTTTTGTTTTTTTTAATTGGTTTTGAGAGAGACAGGAAGGGGGAGAGAGAAATATCGACTGGTTGCTTCCCATACATGCCCCAACTGGGGACTGAACTGCAACCTAGGTATGTGCACTGACTGAAACCCACAACCTTTTTTTTTTTTGGG